CTGCAGGGTGACACCTTCCACCATAGGTCGTTAGCTTAGGGCTGTAATGGTGAACCTATGGCACGCGTTCCACAGGTGACATGCAGAGCCATTTGTGCAGACACACAAGCCCCAGCCAAACTTACCTGCACTGCACATGCGCATGCATTCCAGCTGATTTTTGACCCGTTTGAGGTCGTTTTCACTCTCCCGAGGCTCAAGGGAAGCCTCTACAGCCTTGGGAGGCTGAAAAATGGAAGTGCCCATTGTCAGTCTCTGAAGCTTGGGGGAGGCTGTTTTTGCCCTCCTGGAGGCTCGAGGAAAGCCTCTGGTGCCTCAGGAGGCTGAAAACGGGCCCGTTTTGGCACTTTCGATATTTCCAGAAGGCCGTTTTTCAGCTTCCTGAGGCTGCAGAGGCTTCTCTCAAGCCTCAGGAGGGTAAAAATAGCCTCAAATAGGTCGAAGATCAGCTGAACTTGCGGATGCGCAGTGCAGGTAAGGGGGCGGGGGTGGGGTGTTGCCTGCACATGTATTGCATTGTGGATGCCAGCATGCGTGTGCGTGAGCTATTGCGCACGCATGCACTTTCAGCACACCTCAACAAAAAAGTTCGCCATCACTGGCTTAGGGCATGTATTGCAAAAGCCTACGAGCTGCAGGCCCTCCCAGTGCCCAGGAGGATTACAGTGCACTCTACTAGAAGTGCGGCCACAACGGCAGCTTGGGCAACATAGTTCTCTGTAGAAGAGATTTGCCAGGCAGCGACATGGTCATCAGTGACACTGTTCATCCGACACTATCAGCTTGACTCTTGTCTCGGTAGAGGCAGCCTTCAGTAGGCACGTCCTTCAAGGTTGACATGTGTAGGCGGGGACTACAGCCCAGACCAACTCCTGCCCGTAATATAGCCAGCAGCCAGCTTTAGCATATCCCAATCTGGATTCTCCCGTCAACTCAGTGAAGAAGGGATATTGGTCCTACCTGACATGCCCCTTCTCGGGGAGTCAATAGGAGAATCCAGTCCCACCCTCTGACTGTCTGGTCAGAGTCCAGTGGAGGACTGCCTTTCGGAGGAAGATGGACAGCGGAATTTGCTTCGCCTTCGTTTCAAAACTGGGGACCATTACCAGGGAGGTGTGTCCTCAGAATTCAACTCAGTCTCAAGAGCAACGTGGCTAGAGACTACCCAACCTGGATTCTCCCGTCGACTCCTGAGAAGAAGTGTGTCAGGTAGGACCAATGCCCCTTTTGGAAGTTTTTGTAATCTAAAATTTGGTGGGTTGGGATCTAGAAACAAACTTCTGTGTAATTTCTAGTTTCAAAAAGGTAATATAATATTCAGATTATGATTCTGTTTAAAGAACTATATATGATCTAGGTAAAATGATACATATAATTAATTAAGCTTATCTTGTCATAACATAACAAAAAAATTACATTCAGATAACAAGTCTGATCTTTCTCAATTGTGACTTGCTAAATATAACATAGTTAACTAATTTTTTTCAGCCTATATGAACAATACACAACAATTCATAATCAGCAGTGGCTGTTTTAGAGTCCTGCTATGATGTCTGGGAGTGCTTATCTGCCGGGTTCCCTGCCCCACCTGAGTTTTTAATTAAATAAGAATGAAAAGCTGGGCTTCTGCAAAGGAAAGCTTCAGCTTCACATACTTCCAAGAATGCTGCTAAACCTCAAGTGGATTCTGCACATTTTCTTACAAAATAAAAATGATAGACAGTTACATTCCAGTGTTTTGTTTGGAAGTTTACCCATCCCTATAGGAGAAAGACAAAGCAAGCAATGGCTAAGAAACAGACCTTTTGTGTTAACACTTTCATAGTCTAAAATATACTTTAGGTCTCCTGTCTCCCTACATTTCACAAGGTGATAAGAACTATTATTCCAACATCCCTTTAGCCCAAATATATTGTTATTTTTAATGTTGCAGTTATTTTCTATTTTAGTTTTGTTTCACTAACTCAGACATTTTACAGATGGATTGGGCAGTCTACAAACCCTAGATTAATATGTTTGTGGGTAAGTGCATGCACACTTACACACATAACTTGGAGGAATTACTTTGCATAAAATTGCCCACAACATATTTTCAAAATTCCAAATGTGCCTACCAGCCAACTAAATTTAGGGAATATTGGACTGAGTTCATCTAATACATTTTTTAATAGATGTTGCTTTCTTGGGTCATAAATGTGGCTGTTCTTTGATCCCCAAAGGCGAAACATGGTCAGACCTGGTTAGGATCTGAAAGAGAATCTACAAGGGAAAAATAGAATGGAAAGGTTAAAAGATAGCTTGGGAGAGGATAATTATTGCTTTATTCCTGTAATTACTGATTGTTGGGCATGATTTGAAAGAATAATCTTTTTAGAGTTCGCTTGAAATTTATGTCAATGGCTCTGAAAATAACAGGAAGATATGGGAAATCGAAATTGTGCACTATTTAAACATAGATTGATATGAATCTGGAAGGATTCCCATTTTCTATCAATTATAATATTTTCTAGAGTTTGCTCTCAGTATTTCAACAAGTATTTAGCAATAAGAGTTTCATTTAGAGAGCTGATTAGAAATTTGGACTAGTCTATGTTGCTCAGCTTTCCTTTTTTCTCTTTTAAGTAAAATAACTTTTAATTTTAATAATTTAATTATATAACATGATCTGAGATCATTTTTGTATCATAGTGACTTTGTATTCTTTTTTATCCATTATAGCTATGTTAAAAAAAACCTGTGGCCAAAGTATACTATCAATTATTGGTTTGACTTATCATATGTGAAGGCAACCAATACTTACTTACTATAAAATCCATTTTCACAACTGGCTCTATCAATATTAAAACAAAAAAGTAGTAAAAGAATTTGCAAGACAGAGCCCCAGATTAGATTTTTACATAATGCAAGTTTATAATATGGTTTATTTGGCTTTAGAGGTTAGTATATTGCGAATGTAACTGTTGTGATTCATTCAGAAAACCATTGTTTTCATGCAGAGAGATAGAAATTCACATTAAAGAATCAGTCACTGGATTTACACATTGCACAAAACCAGGACCAAACACTGGTCTTGAATCCAGTTCAAATCTTTGTTGGGCATGTTTGCAAATTTGCTAAATATAATTTAGTATTAAGAGTAAGAAGCATATCAATGTTGTTGGTGCAAAAATTATCTTTAGTTGATATAATTTGCTGGTTCCATCCTCTCCAACTAATATACCAGACACCTGTGGATTTTTTTCAAAAGTGAAAGGGTGAAGGGGAATACTTGTTTTCTAATAGGCTATTTGCTTAACCATAACTAGCTGGCATTCTGGATCAGACAAGATATAGACCCATGTTTGATTGATTAAGCTATGTCATATCTACTTATTATGGTCAGGGAATTTTGTATTAACACAATCTTGAGCAAGCTATAGTTTATGGACTAAACCCATTAACAATGCAATTAAGCATAGGTATAGCCATTCTTTCAATCTGTATGTTGAACTAGTTTATGCTGAGTGGATGGCAGGACTGATTGAGTTAGTGTTTATTTAAAGCATGGGTGCTTTGAACCCCTCCCTCCACACACACTTGAATTAATCCTGCTGAGCCCAAGCCACAAGCACTGATGAAAAGGGAGGTGAGCTCAGTGAGCAAACATCTTATTAAACCATCAAGGTCAGCATTTCCAGCTGTGGAACTTTGCATTGCAGATGCTAAGATTAAAATGTCTAGAATGTATTGCCTGCAGGCATGGTGAGAGATGAAACTGGCTTTGTTAAATTGACCCATGAGCAATTTGGGTTCTTTATTTTTATCATGCTTAATATGATCTGGGGATTTTAATTGGCTGTGGTTCAGATGAAACCCTTAGGTACACCTATGGATTGCGGACATTGAAGATTATTTTTTGAGAGAAATGAAAATTAGACTTTAAAATGTGTAATTCTGAGGAATCAACTCTTATGCCTCAGAGTCTGTTTCTTGTTTCTTGTTAGAAGCATCTTTATCCTCAGTTCCCTGGTGAGCCTGCCTCTTGTTTTCAGTGGCTAGTTGCCTTGAAGATATGTTTGATCCTGCATTCATTAAAATTTGATCCTGCTGCTTCCCAACAGCCCTAATGGTATGTGAAATTATCCCCCCCCCCCACTTTTTTTTGAAAGATACCACTAACTCAGTCACTGTCCACAGGGCCAAGGAACACAACGGGCATGTGCTTGCTCACTCATGCATACCGTACAGTACTTGTCAAAAGCCTCCCTGAGTTATTCAAATCTGCTTTCCACCACAGAAAGAGAAATTAATCTTCGGACTTATCTGAGCAATTTGCTTTCCACAAAGGAGAAGCAGAAGATGGCTGGAAGTAGTCTGAAGGCTTTTATTGGGAAGTTTTCTTTCCATCCAGAGTAGGATAATTGGCCAAAAAGCATGGTAGTTGAAGAAAAGGGTGATCTATCTAGTATGACAAGTGGCAAGAAATAATGAAAGTACAACAACTACCGCTGCTGCCACAGCAACAAATGAAGACAAGGAAAAAGTATGCCATAATGGAAGGACAGATGATGAATGAACGAAGACATGAATGGTGCATGCCAGAGACAGCTACTACTTTGCAGAAGCCGAGGAAAGAAATAGAAGCATGTTTATAAAAGCAACATTTATTTTAAAAGCTTTGTGCCCAGGGTATTACGAAGGATTACAGAGCAATTTGCAAGCCACATGCCTCTGCAAGAAAGATACCTTACATACCTTCCAGAATATATTCTACTGTATGTGCTGTGTAATTAAATCTCATTGCTTCTGTTCCTTTCCAAAAGCACTATATATGATGCATATAATAATATGAAATATGTTCATCATATTATGTTATGGTCAGCTTAACCATGGTTTATTGAATCATCTATGGTTGGCTGAGTTTGCACAACATAGCTGTCAACAGTGTTTACAAACAGCTGAGTTTAACATCTCCTTAAACCAAAACCAACAGATCCCTTGTATGATTTGTTTATACATACCTTCAACTAACTTGTTGAATACTGGGAGTTGTAGTTTGAGAACATCTGGAGAGGCGCTGGTTCATTCTGCCTCTAATTTGCTCCATGATAATGTTTTACAAGATGCTTTTCTCCCTCAATTCAAAAGAGGAAAGGAGAAAAGTTAGCAAGGGAAATGTCAAGCAAGGGAAATGTCAAGTGTAATCCTTGGATTGCTTACATAGAAATAAAATGTGTTGGGTTTTATGAGCTTTATTTTCAGTGAAGCATGTTTAAGATTAAATATTCCAAAACAGCATTATTTTCTTCCACACTACGTGATAATTAACCATAGCCTTTGTTCTTTTCATTTATTGAAATAATTTGTGAGTTGATGAAGCCACATGTTTTGATGAAGATTATACATTTTTGACTGCCTCCTTCCTCCTTGTCTGTAAATAATAGTGAAAGAATCACTGCCTGGTGATTTACCATTTCTGTCTGGAAACACAGTTTGAGTAATGGAAGAGACAAGCAATCAATAGCAGCAACTGGGCAGAGGAGGATACACTTGAAAATTGGATTAGGTTAAGGTATCTGGTAGGAAAATAGTAAGCAAATTGTTGGGCAGATAGTCAGAAAAAAACCACAAGCCAAACCAAAACCACCATATCAAAAGCATGACAACAACAAATTGAGTAATGGTTAGTTTGCCCTTCTTCCAGGATGGCAAAAACCTGCTCCCTTAGGTAGGTGCTGGTTGTCAATGCAGAGCTGACCATTTTCATGGAAGAGAGGCCAAAGAAATTATCCTCCTCTAACTCCACTTCCCCACAGCAAAGAGTGGAAATTACACAATGGCCCACCACTTTGCTTTGCTTGTTCAGAGTATCTGAATCTTAAGGTCTTCAATAGAGCCAGCTTGTTCACTGCAGTTACCATGAAAAATGAAGTTTCTTTCCCCATTCAGATTGCATTTTTATATTGCTCACTATACCACAAAATAAACTTTACTGCTTGTATTGACAATCGTGATGTTGCTTCACTAGCAAGAATCATTTAGGAGAGGCCAGTAAGCACTCAATGAATCTCTCCCATTTTGTAGCTTTATGAATTACATCAGGGGAATATTTACTTATTGTAATTACTTATAATCCACCAATCCTCCCAAAGTGGCTGTTGTAAAGAGAAATATATAAATATTCTTTTGAAAAAGTAATACAGATTTCAAGGGTCTCTTCCATAAGACTATTGATATTAATAGCCATGAAATAAGGAGTTGACTTGTGGGATGATGATGAGTGTTCACTTTACCTCTCACTATAGAGATGTGCAAGACCCCCTCACTGCAGGGAAAATGCAGGAAATCCAGGAAGGAGAGGAAATAATTGCTGTTAACTTTATAAGATGTACTGAGAGATCACTGCATTTTATTGATAAGAGGCAGGATCTGGTTGAGCATATGCTTACTTATCATAAATACCACTAGATGGCAGCAAAATCTAATTCTTTGCTGCCATCTTCTGATCCTATGGAATTTTGACATCTATACCGTGTTTCTCCAACAATACGGTTTCCACCAATAGGAAGGCCCAGCATGTTTTTGGGGCATAAAATCAAATTAAGCCCCTCCCCCCAAATTTAGGCCTATCTTAAAATATGCAAAATAAGGGGGAAGGGCGGGAGACTTGCCGTTAGGAGCGCCCGGCGGGCAGGAATTCCTCGCCACCAGCCGCTCCTAACGGGCGATCATGGCGAAGCGCGGGGAGCTCCCTACTCCCACCAAACACCTTTGCTGCAGACACCTTTGGCACCCGCCGCTGTTGCTTTACCTTCTGCCCATTCCGCCGCCACGTTTGGCCGGTAGGCAACGAAGAGCGTCCCGTAGCTCCGGAAGCAGCCTAGAGACGCGCCCGGGAAGAGGCGCAGATGCTGCCTTGTAGTCCCCAAACCAACTGCGTGCGCCGCCTTTAGTTATGTGCGCTCCGCTCTCTGGGCATCTCCGTGTGATCGTGACCCTGTCCTTTCCACCTGGCGCCCTTGCTGCTTTCTGGCTCTTTAGCGACCGGCTTCGCGTTTGGAACACGTTCGCGTTTGGAGTTGGTTTGGGGACTACAAGGCAGCATCTGCGCCTCTTCCCGGGCGCATCTCTAGGCTGCTTCCGGAGCTATGGGACGCTCTCCGTTGCCTACCGGCCCTTCTTCCTTGGGCTCCCTGCCGTGGGGTACACCCACTTCCTCCTGAAAATTACGCCTCGCAACTCTTCTCTCCCTTTCCTCTCGCTCCAAAAAGATTGCCATCGTATCCCGCCGATTCGGGCTTCCAGCCACGTTGTGATCCACTAGTGAGGTTGCCATCTCGGATGGAGGCATCGCAGTCTCCCTCTCTTGCTCGCTCTGAACTTCGCGTGGACCAAAATAAAAAGATCACCCGCTGTCATGTTTGGAGCTGCCACTTCCGCGTTTGGAGCTCCAAATGGCGGCAGCACTCCAAACACGGAAGCGGCAGCTCCAAACGTGGCAGCGGAATGGGCAGAAGGGAAAGCAACAGCGGCGGGTGCCAAAGGTGTCTGCAGCAAAGGTGGGAGTAGGGAGCTCTCTGCGCTTCGCCATGATCACCCGTTAGGAGCGGCTGTTGGCGAGGATGCAAGGGGGGGAATTAAGTCACCCCCCGAAAAGACGGCCTAGCCGTTTTTTCGGGGCTCAAAAAAAAATAAGGCCCGGCCTTATTATGTGAGAAACACGGTAGGATCACAATGTCCAATGTCATAACTCGTAAGCGCTGCTCTGTCCCTAAGGGGCTACTCCATGTCACTGCTGAAATAATTTGTTTCAGAGAAGAACCTGTACATGCAAACCCTGACCCCCAAAATATTGGGTCTCTCAAATGTAGCCGCTAGCTCCTTAACCTCTTAACTGATAACCAATGTTGAGATGGGGAGATATTAAAATGGTTTGCCCAGCAGCTCTATTGACAGTCCAGCTCTTCTGGATCAATATCGCATTGCAGTGACTACATTTAGCAGAATCTCCTGGGTCAAGACATCTTTCTATCATTAAATCTTTCTGCCCTTTAAAAAAATATTCGTTTAACGTTAGTGATTAAAATGCTGATCTAGAAACTGGGAGAGCATGAATTCTGCCCACTTAAGGCATGAAAGTTGGCTCGGTGACTTTTGGCCAGTCATTTTCTCTCAGCCCAACAACACCCCAAAGGTTGTTTTTGTGAGGAAAATGGAATGAGGAATGAGTATTATGTATCTTCATCACCTTATGGTATTTATAAAATAACAGAGGCAGGATAAAAATCTAACAAATAAAGATTACAGAAAATAAATGTGTAGATTGCTACTAAGTATAATTATGTTTTTCATTGCCTGTTTGTGAACACAAGACATAATTAACACACTTAAATTATGATATATACTTTTAACAATAAGGCTCAGTGAAAAGAGAGGAAAGGTTTCCTGAGGGGAAAAAATTACAGAAAGTCTTCTTATACTGCTTACCCCAATTTTTTTACCTTTAGTTACACCCATAATTAAACTTGTAACATGACTATTTGATTGTCACTGTGTTATGAGAAAAATGCCACTGGGGAGTGGGGGCAGTATTTTCCTAGGTTTTACCTGATTTAATGAAGGCTATTATTTCTTCCTGAAATGAAATGAACAAAAATAATACAACTTTTCTTCAAAATTTTCTACAGCATTTTGGTCAGCAAACTTTCTTTCTGGAATCTTCTTAGCATGTTGTGCATATCATTTGTTTGCCAGCAGACATTCCTGATATAACATCCACTTCTCTGCAGAGAAAATCCATGTCCTTAAGTAGGCACCACTCTTGGTCATTTGCAAAGTCAGACTGTCCAGCTCCTCCCTGTGTTGGAGATAGGAAAAGTAAAGGTTTAGTCCTTTTAAAAACAAAGGGCAGAAGTCTATGGATTGAATCTATGGAGGAGTTTGGTTCATTGATCTCCCCAGCAGCTAAAATGGAATTTCTCCAAAACCTCGAGGAAGTCCATATAAAAGGAGAATAAAAATTTCTGCTTCAAAAAATTGCTGTTTGGAAAAATAATCTAGCTAATATTTCTATTTTTTTCTTTCATTTTTCTAAGTATTGGTAACATAATTGTTTCTATTTTCTTTTGCCACAGGAAATAGTATGTGCTTTCAACCATTATTGCATATTTCAGTTCATGTTCATGATTTTATTTTTAGAAAACTTAGAATCATATTTTTTTTCTTAGAAACTCTCTGTACTCTTATATTTTTAGGTTGAGAACTGTGCATTTTTATTTTAATCTTTTTAAACCTCACTGTCCATTTTGAGCAATTCTGTATTATTTACCTTTCACCAGTGATGTTGTCATCACTGTTAAAATTTAAAGATTACGAAGTTTAACTTTAAAAGGACTTTTATCTTTTACAAAAGTTTTGAAATTTTGCCGTGTGTCTTGTGATATTGGGCCATCTCCCAAGGGTAGCAGGGAGTGAATCTTCTGGCCAGATGACATACTAGAATGTATACATTTCTTACATGTGTGTATGTGCCTTTAAGTCAGTATTGACTCCTAGTGATTGCCTAGAGTAGTTTTTGTAGTTTTCTTGATAAGATTTTGGGAGTGCTTTTCCATTGCCTCCTTCCTCCAGCAGAGATTGTGACTGGCTCAAGATCACACAATTGGCTTCATGCTTAAGACTGAACCAGAACTCATGGCTAAGAAATACTCATGGTATTTCTTAGCCTCATGCTTTAGCCACTCTACCAAACTGAGTGTATTTACATTGTAATTGCCAGGAAGATAGAACAGAGTACTCTCTCATGCACACTGGATACAGTAAGAGGATAGCAGCAGTGGTGGGCTGCAACCAGTTTAACAATTGGTTCTGTGAGCGTGCGCATGCACGCACAGCATTCAAAATACACCAATTTCAAGCTCTACAGCTTACCTTCTAGGGCAACTCCAGTAAGTAAAACAGCTGAATCGCAGAAATCTACTGTGCTGCGTGAATCAGCTGAGATGAAAAACGTGGAAATATAGGACAGGATAGGGCGGGGATGGGTAGGCAGGGCCAGCTGATCATTGGAGATACCGGTTCGCTAGAACCGATCTGAATTGGCAGCATCCCACCACTAGATGGCAGGTTCCGGAGGGCTATTGATAGTCCACCTTCCACTGATGGGACATAGCCATTCTGTTCCTTTTGACAATTGCTTTAGTCTCCATGATATAACAACAATTGATTTTAGCAATAAAATACCTAGACTTAAAAGCAGTTTGGTTGCTAAGTGAGGCAGACATTAAATGAGACACACCCAATTTTATGAACTTTTGGTTGCTGTTGTTAAATGAATCGCTAAATGAATCATATGGTGATTAAACAAATTTCCCCAATTGACTTCACTTGTTAGAAGTCAGATCAAAAAATCATAAATGTCAATTACTTGTCCCAAGGACACTGTAGCCATCATAAATATACATTCCAGTTGTCAAAAACCCAAATTTTGATCGTTACCATGGGGACACTGCAACAGACCTAAATATGAGAACTGGTTATAAATCACCATCATTGTAACCATCATTATAACATTGAATATTCACTAATTGAATGGCTGTATAAGTTGAGAACTACCTGTATAAATCAGTTTCTTGCTACAGATAACTTAAAAACAACAAAAGAAAATATCAGAGCAGAAGAGCTGTTTTTAATCAAACAACAGGAGAAATCTATAGACTGTACAGGTAGCTCTTGAGGTACAACCCTAATGGAGCCTGCCAATTAAGGTCTTAAGTCAAAAACTTTGTAAAATGAATTACACTAATTTTTATGACATTTTTTTTTCATCATGCTCATTAAGCAAATCAATGGGGCTTGCTGTTTGCTTCAGTTTGTTAAATGACCTCTGCCATCATTAAATGAACTGAGAAAGTAGAGAATTTGCAGGGGTCTCCAGCTGGAGCCTGTGGCCAACCACCCATCAGCTGTAGTGGCAAGGCAAGGCAGCTCTCCGCCTCCAGGCAGCGCTCAGACTTAAACTGGGGTGTGTGTGTGTGAATTTACAGGTCTACAAGTGGAGCTTCTGGAGGAAACTGCTGCCATCTGCTGATCAAGGAATCTTCAACCAATCTACAAGTAATACACTAATCCTTAAAGCAAAAACAAATAAACATAGCACACTAGAATATAAGGATCTTTCTGCAAGTAATCTCAAACTACATGCAAACAAACAGTACAGTAGAATGCAAAACAATTTTACAGTATTAAATCTGCTTTCTGTAGATGCTGGCTGGTAGTTCTGCAAGCAATCCCAAAGCAAACACAAATAAACACAGCAATAAAAAAATAACCTATCTTTGTAAAGTGCCTACAAACAAACATAACAACTTATAAAGAATTGGCAAACAAACAGTACTATAATGAAAAAGAAAAATCTAAGGTACTTACAAAGGCAACTAAAAGTACTCCAGTCCTCAAGGCAACAACAACAACAAAAGAAGCAATAAGGCAGCAATGAGAGATTCAGTCCTCTAATCCTCTACCTGCGAACAATGAGAAGGAACAAAAGTGAGGCCTGCGGGAACCTGACTGTCATATGATCAGGAAAAAACATGCACCAACCCTGTGAGCCTCAGAAATTGCCTCTTGGAACTGTGGGCAACAAAGAACAGTTATGGTTGGGGGGGAGCCACTTCAGGAGTGATTGAATCCAGTTCCCATGACTGCTGGGGCCCTTTGTGATCGCAATTTTGAACCCTTGTTGTAAGTACTTTTGGGGCACATTCATAACTTCAAACATGGCCGTTTGGACCTTGAGGACCATTTGTAATAAATTCACTGTGCCTGGATATATCTGGTATATTATATATTATATAGCAAATGCTTTGTCCTCCTATATGATTTTATCAAATCAAATGAGCTCTTTAATATGGTCATAGACCAACATAAGGTAGGTGGTATAGGGTCATTAAAAAGCATAAAGGATGCATCAAGAATAAAAACAAAAATCTAAAATGTTGTGAAAAACTAGATGCTATAAAGATATATAAATTAAAGGCAAAAAAGAGAATCTAAAAGGTGGTTGGGATTTAAATGAGTATGGGGTGCATAAAAGATTAGTACATTGTGTGGAAACTATATCACAGTACAAAGTATTCTAAGATGACTAATTAATTTCTCATTAAATCTAATTTATAACAGGCCATTCTGATATATTTTTTAATCCCACAGACCACTAATATGAATCCAGCATGCCACTCACTGAAACACTGAGGGGGTGGGCACTTAGCTTGGGTGCCTGTTTCTGCAACCTTAAATACTCAAAGAGTCATTTGGGCCCCTTTCCCACAGAAAACAAAACACCGGAATTTCTCATCTCTCTCTCTCCCTCTCTCTCTGTCTTCTCTCTCTTTCTTTCTCTTTCCCTCCCTCCCTCCCTCCCTCTCTCTCTTTCTGTGAATCTTGTCTCCCTCTTTCCCCCTCTCTCTCTTTCTGTCTTGTCTCTCTTTCCCTCTCTTTCTCCCTCTTTCTCTGTCTTGCCTCTCTCTTTCTCTCTCTCATATCTCTCTCTTCCCCCTCTCTGTATCTTGTCTCTTTCCCTCTCCCACTCCCTTTCTCCCTCTTTCTCTCTCTGTATCTTGTCTCTTTCCCTCTCTCCCTCTCTCTGTTGTCTCTCTCTCTTTCACTCTTTTCCCCTCTTTCTCCCCCCACCACCAGTCCCGTCTTGTGTCTCTCTGTCTTCCCCCCCCTCTCTGTCATTGGGGGTTGGAGGGAAAGGAACCTCTGAACTGGTGCTGGGCATCTGATGTCTGGAGGCCAATGAGCCACATGCTGAAGAACAGATAGCTGGTGGGGAGCTGGGGCAATCCTGCAGTCTCCCTAGCAAACCCATGTTGTGGCTGATGCCTCCTGCCTCCACTCAGCGAGGAGGCTGAGCAGCAGCGGGAAGAGTGCAGACCTCCGGAGTCAACAATGCCCTCAGGTGAAGATGTTGCAAGGGGGAGGACTGACCTCTCCCCTCAGAAGCCGCAAAGCGCTCGCTGCCCCTCTGGCACCTGCCAAGCCACCTCCTTCCTGCTGAGCATGTGAGAGCTTCTGGAGAGGAGGAAGAGAAGCACAGTTGGAGAAAGCTTGGCGGCTGCCAGAGGGGTGTCAAGCACTTTGCAGCTTCTAAGAGGAGGGGCACGGGAGATCGTGCCCTCCCCTCGCAGGCCAGGGAGCACCCGAGAAGGGCTCCGATGCTATGATCTCCCACGCACTACCCTCCCTCCCCGCACACATCAGTCCATCCGCCACCAGTATCACCCCTGTTGCAGACACTTGCGCTGTGGACCACCAAAATTTTCTCGCGGACCACCGGTTGGCAACCTCTGGCTTAGTTAATAGATGCAATTTAAAAGTCTTATCTCTGTTACTTGACATCTTGGCTGATTTTGAAAAGCTAACCCACATTTGATCTGGTTAGTATTGGGAGACTATTAGGAAATCTCAGGGTTAGGAAGCTAAATGGAGAAATCAAACATACTAGAAGAATGCAGTAAGGAATTCTTTCATTTATTTGATTGATTTATATAGTCTTTATATATTTATAGCTGATATGTCCATCAGAATCACATGAAATTATGCACATCGCAAAGGAGCTTGATTGCAATTGAGACCCAGCCATTGTATGAAGCACAAGGCAGCTCTACAACTATACTAATAAAGAAGCACCTTTCCCATTTCACATTGTCAAGAACAGCTTAAGACTTTTGCAGTCCTAATATTCACTCTTAAGTCTAAGCCATACCAATTCTCTGATTTGTGTTCTCTTTTTCCCCCTCTTTAAAAAATTCTGATCATCTGTATTTAATAAAATGTATCTGCATTGGGAACCAGATGAGACAGGGAAGAAGGGATGAAATACACTGCCAGATTCTTTCCCTTCACAAATATGTATCAACTGGAAGAGGCAATTTCAGCTTTTTAAAGCCAATGTATCAAATATTTTTTTCTAATGGTCAATAATACCAAAGTGTCATCTGCAGATTGGTTCTATAACTCTTATTTCTGAGAGCTAACACGTCACTTCAAATGGGTTTCAACAGGAGTGCATTTTCAATAATAAAATATTGAATATAGCAAGTATGAACAGCACCTATAAAATAACCCATTTTATACAATAAAATGTTGCTGTAAGACAATTGACTGGTCTTCTCCAAGCGCTCCAAGAACTACAACTGCCAAACTTTTATTGGCTTATCTTGGCTGTCAGTTCTGGGAACTGACTTTCCAATATTTCTGGAGAGAACCTTGAGTGGCATAGAAATCTGAATATAGACAAAATGAAACATTCACAAATGAAAAGCTATTTTAGGATATTCAAGAACTGGCTTAACCAGTTTTCTGCAATTCTTGAATTATCTACTAGTTTAGAATTTGCACCATGGATACCAAAGGATGTCATTAGAAGGGGTACAAGACCGGGCAGACTTTCAGTGAGGAAATAGCGGACTGATATTCTTTAGTCACAGGAGACAGCTAGAAATGGCAGCTGGATCCTAGATTTGGACCACCAAAATCTCTTAGTAGAGAGAGGTCTTGTGATCAGCCTATGCATTCTGGACAGCTGTGGGGGGGGGGGGGGGATTGTGTGTGAATAGAGAGTAGAAATTGATATATATTTTTACAGTTGCTCGCAAACAGTTGGGAGTTGTGGGATTCCATCAAGCTCATAGCCCTCAATGAAATCTTCATAGACTCAAGTTTCAACTCTTCTGAATCACTTTGGATTTTACTTTTTGTTCTGCTACTTTTTGAAACTAGAGGACCTTCACAACCACAAGTTCGATTATATTCACGGTGTGCTTTCTTCAATCCTTTAAGAAAAGACTTTTATTTAGAAGTTTATAAAGTTTTGCAAATATGTTTGTGTGTATGTGTATGCAAAACTTCATACTTCTAATTTAATTATGTATATATACAAAAGGGTATTTACAGTGCTGATTTTAGAAAGTTTAATTAGATTAGGGGTCAGATGGTCTTGAATTAGAACTTTAAAATTAATTATAATAATTCTCATGGGAAAATGCTTATATTTACATCTGGAACTGATTACTTTGAATATTGATCACTAAAGGGTCTAGAAGGAAATAAATAAATCAGTAGATCTCTTAATTGAGGTTTGAGATTTAGGCTTAGGGAATTCTTTTAAAGTTATCTGCTCATAGAAAAATTAGATAATATCATCCAAGAGGAACAAGTTCCATTGAATAAAACTAAAATTAATTTGAATGTGGATTTTAAAATGAGAGCCTATAAGATAGGAAAAGATGAATTGTTACATTTACAAATGAAACCAATTGATTTAACAATTAAAAATGATACACAAATACAACTCAATGAATGATGTGGATAATTTCTTTGCATCAAATATATAAAAAGGATGTGTTGAAGTTATCCATGATTTCATAAGAGAAGACAATGAGAATATGAACAATGGTTTGGATAAGCTTTTTATACTGGAATTATAAAAAAGGGCTTATTAAAAATGCAAACAATTCTGGGAGAAGAGACAGTATGAAAAGAAAGCATGTTGTTTTGAGGGAACCAAAAGATTGCTGGGAGAAAAAGAAAAGAAAATAATATAAAATCAGTTTATTTGACTAAGGCTAAAATAAATATGTTGCTATTTTTGGTAATGTTTAATAAAATGTTATTGATTGAGAACAGATAATGATGTTTCAAATCATTTGTTTCTTTGAAGAGAGGAGATGGGGCAATTTCTTTAAATAGAAGAGGAAATACAGATGTAAAAGGAAGGAATCACACAGCCTATATTAGGCATTGCTTATAACTGTTTTGTTATTTCAGATAACCATTCATGAGCTTTTACTCATTTAAGAGGAAGGAGAGATGAAACTTTAAAAATTGACTTACAGAAAATTGAGATGAAGAAATTGTTAATTTTGTTTTAAAAGATGGTGATAAATTGCTCATATTATTTACATTTGCTGAGAAAGAAGAGGAATGTTTTGCTTTGCACTTTTTCTATTTTTTCTGTTTACATATTTATGTACTATATTGATGTTATTAGTTTTTGTTTGTATAATCATTAATAAAAATTACTAAAAAGCAAACAAAAAAGGTTCCAAGAATGAAATAAACAGCATAATTATTTAAATTGTCTCCATTAATTACTTACAGTACTCAGGAACCCTTCCTCAGTGTGCTATGGTGAGCCCAGATAGTGAGTGTGGTTTCCAGAATTTGACTCACAAAGGGATTTTGCTTTGATCGGGCAAGTTTTATAGCCCTGCAGCCTGCAAATTCTTCTTCTCTTGCCACCCAATTCCTCAGGTTGGGTATCAGAAAGGAAAGATTAGATATTAATGAGGATTAAGTGCCTACCAGGCATTGGATTGGACACTTGTTATAATAAAAGAGGGAAGTAATTATACGATTGTGGTTAAAGCAGGAAGTTTGCTATCACACAGCTTGCAGGAGTAAATAAGAGGAACTAGCTTGTCTAAGCAGCCTCTCTTCCAGGTGTTAATTGAAAAATGCAAGTCACTTACAG